TCGGAAACCTTTTGTTTGAAAATTTCACCCAAACTATTCACTGAAAAAATTAAAACTTCCTCATCCAAATTGAGAATTTTCAATCCTGTTGTTGAATAATTCAGTCTATTGTCGAGATATTTCTCCAAAACTAAACCTGGATATACCAATCGTGACTCCTTGAGAGTATCCATAATACTGGGGACTTTATATGGTAGTGAATATGGTGAATTTCCAGTAAATAGAACCTTAGCCGAAACATTCTGACCAGCTACACACAAATATGTATCCTGTCCTAATTGTACATTATCCATATAACAGGTGGCTTCATTGAGCGAGTGTGAATAGTACGAAATTTCAGTGAGATATCTCAAATCTGACTTGATGATATAGTGACGAGAAGCAAGAAGTAAAGTATTTTCTAAGACATTAAATGTACAGAAGGAATTACAATCAATCAGGTTTATGTCTGAGCATACTTCTTCTGTTTTACTCTTATAATCCAAGATCCTCACCCTATACCTATCCATCAGTACCAGTAAAGTACTTCCCAGAAATTGGAACTGTTGGAAGTTATCAGTATTGGTTTCAACATTGTTTTTCAAATAAAATAATGTTGCATTGACTTTGATATCTTCAACTGTGAATTTGCTCAATGTAACCACACCTAAGTGATTTGGTTCATCTTCATTCAATTTTGCATCAAAAATTGGCACTTTGAAATCCTTTGCCCACAACAAGTTGATAGAAAAAATATTGTCAAATTGGAAAATGCTGACTTTTAGCTTCTCCCTCAAAATTAAAAGTAATCCTTGTTCTGTTTTCAGGGAATTCAGACCATAAATTGGAGTAGGAGAAGAATAATTAATTTTTTTAGTGTCACTGCTATTGTTAACATCAGTCAAAAGAAGGTTATTATCAACATCTGGCCGAATAAGGTAATCTGATTTATTGAACTCTATATGTTCTAAAACACCACCAGTATAATAATAGTTATAGTCACAATTGAAGGAAGGATTCGGATCTTTCTGTTGATAAAATTCTATAAGGTAATTCGGAATATGTATATACTCACTCCCACCATATTTTTTCTTTGCTATGTTTTTCTTGTCAAATTCAAACTTTCTTCTTTCATTCTCAAGCTGCCTAAAATACTCTTCTTTTTCCCTCAGTATAATTTTAACTAAATCTTCTGAGGTTTTCAGATGCCCATGAATGGGGTAGGGATGTTCAACATATACTTGGGAGAATGTTCTATCTGTCCCTTCGAAAAGACTCTCTTCAGTGTTATTCAACAGAAGATCATGTCTCAAGTGTTTTATAGTATGTGCCGTTCCGGAACATCCCCTCAGAAACATGTTTTTGTTTTGGTATTCACAACCACCTTCTGGTGATGAGTTACAGCACTTGAAGCCCTGCTTCTGAACGAACGAGAAACATTACCTCTTTGGGGAAACCAACAAATTAAATTCACCCTCGTACTTAATCATAGCATGACATAACACGAGTGTGGAACTAGTAGTTTCATAAATACTGCAAAAGGATCTTACATTAAGTCGACACCAATGAACAGTAAATGATATGTAAACTCACAGGTGAGGTACTTTTTGTACTACTGCCATAAGAGTAGATGTCTTTAATATATGTAATAATTAATCAGGTTTCGACTAGGAATAATGCCTCTGGAGTACTGGGGTTTGAACAGTTTTATACACTGGCAACCTAAACTTGCCACATACTTATATAAGTTTCAAATTGCGAATACTTATAATCAATATGACTTGTGAGTAATGATTGAGGTTAACACGTACAAGATAAGGTAAATATTTCACTAGATCTTCTTCTTTTTGCGTTTCTGCCAATGTTGCCAACGTGGTAAGTAGAGAACAGTGAACTCTATACTACGTACGTATAATATACATTTCACTGGTAGAGAAAGACTTACATCTCATAAGTTTAGAAGAATTTCCGTACACCGTTGAAAGAATTAAAAAAATAATTCCTATTACATAGAGTTCCCTTAAGAACCATGAACTTTGTACATTTTTCTGGTAAAAGAAACTCCAAGAGTGTATCTGAAATAGTGAATTTCATTTTGTGAACTTCATGGAGTAAAAATTACAATATATACTACGTTTGAGAACGTGACAGTATTGAACCTTATTGAGCTGAGTATGATTGAATTCAAAGGGGAAAAATTGTCAAATCAACGTGCAAGTGATCAGATGATGTCACACGGAATGTCATTCATACGAACTACACGCAGAACTGCGAGTGATTCGAGAATAGGGTAACAAGTCTCCAATCATACTCTACTATATTTTCAGTGCCATAAAACTATACGAAGATGGTAAAGGTAGTTTTTGTCAGCGTTCATATATAAACTCGTAATGTACTTAACATTTTCATTTGTTGGTTATAATTTCAATCAGGTGAGATCTAAACTTGATAACAATCACAGCTTCAGTAAATCTTTTTTTTTATTGAAAATATAATCATGATTTCCAAAGATAAACTTATAGGGTTTTCCGTTGATAAAACTGGCAATGCCCTCTTTTCACAATGACACTACACGAGTTCTGTCAAATTTCAATATTGTTGCAGTCCCAATGGAACATAAATTTCAGCACTTCTCACTCAACAATACTACTACTATCAAAACAGATCAATATCTATTATACTAGCTACTCAAATAGAGAATCTCTCATTATTTCAAAATAACAAAAATAATTGTTAATTTGATCTGAATAATTATTCTGGAAGCAAATTCTTATAACATTTCATGTGTCTAATACAAATTCAAATGAACAAAAATCATTTATGTGTGAATCTGTCAAAGTTAAAGCTATTCCTTAGTGAATAATGTAGCTGTGTTTACTCGAAATCTGCTTCTTTCCTTTTTCTGAAAATCTATAAATGCTGGAAGAAAAAAATTACTTGTGATTTACTTCTGCATTATTTCATCATTATTGAATTTCATTTTCATGAGTTAAAAGTTTTTATTAAGTATCATTTCAATTTCTTCATCAGTATTCGATACACAGACGATAAAAATGAATTATTTATCATTTGTATCCCGCCATCGTTGATGGCGGAGAGTTGAAAAATTTGCACTGAGTGCACTCAATGACCTGGTTTTCTAGAGGAACGTGTGAATAACACTCGAATTACCAATGAAACCTAATATAAATTGATGGATGTAGCCGTTACTACGTGGTAGGAGATCATAATGAAAAGAGAAATGAAAATTTCTATGTTTTTTACCACTTTTACTTGTAACTAACGTTACTGCAGTTTCGTTCTATATGGACATTCTCAAACTAATACATTTATTGTATTTCTATGTTTTTTACCACTTTTAATTGTAACTAACGTTACTGCAGTTTCATCCTATATGGACATTCTCAAACTAATACATTTATTGTATATGGACATTCTCAAACTAATACCACTAAAAGTGGTAAAAAACTACACTCCAGGAATGTACCCCTGGTAGTAAGAGAATGGATACTCCAGATGCTCTCTAGCAGAGCAATAAGTATTAATGTAGAAGACATCACAGTAAAAGGACTGGTCATGAGGGGANTGCCTGGAGTTATCGTCAATAAGAGAGCGTGTGTTCGGCGAGTCTTGGCCTACACCTGCCGATATAAAGGAGATGTCTCCCAGCGACCTGTCCACCTTCCTGGAAAGAACAGGATAGACGACGACCTAGGAGGACAACTCCTCGGGAGGATGTACAATGGGTCAATGTGGCCTAAGTGCGTGGGCTTACACTCACCCTCCCTACTCTACAGATACAGAGATACAGAAGTGGTAAAAAACATAGAAATTTCCATTTCTTTTTTCGAAACATAATATATGTACTTGCCTGGCATTGGATTTACCAAAATAAAGCTCTATTGATGATTTGTTCATTATTCGGTTTAGTTACGTCCGTATCAAATGAACATTATGTTGGTTATATCTTAGTCTTAGTTTGATACAAAATTTCACTTTCAAAATAGTAGTAAAAAAATCTGTTACTCTTTAATATAGTATCAAAATACTTATATCTTCTCTCTTATACAGTTTTTACACCATATATTGCATTCAAGATGCATTTCGCTGCACGATGGTTTTGGACTGGTACCTCACCAGTCTTAAATAAAATTTATAGTGTGAAAATTGTATAATTATTATCACGGATAGTAAAACGTATTATCTTTGTATACAAAGGTATACAAGGTTAGTTTAATTCTATGACAATTCAAATTCAAAGTGGTTCATTAGGTCACGTTTGAAATTAAGGGATCACACTTCAGCATTAGGAAAAAGTGATTCGATAGAACTTTTGTGACTCATTTGATTTGTAAAAAATGTGTCTCAGAATATCTCATCATATTATCAATTCATCAATGAAGGACTTGACTGAAGTTTACGAACCATTTTTTGAAAGCTGTCTTCAAGGCTTCGTGAAATTCGTCTTGAAATCACCGTTTTCAAAGTGAATAGTGGGATCTACCAGTGATATTTGTTACTGAATCAATAATTAGATCGAAGTGAACTGATACATACCTTAGGTAATATATGGAAACCCACTTTTCTACTGCAAATGAAGTAACGTGAATTTTGAAGTTTTTCCACACAAGTCAAATGTCCAGGATTTTTATTATACATTATACTGAATACTCAATGAACACTAGAAGTACGAAACATTAGAGATCACAAATTAATCATCAATGGAAAAAATGATATAATGAATGCATTATTTATAATCCACAAATCATCGTTTTCCTATTTAAACTACGAACTGCCAAATTGGTAGTTCTGAATAGTAATTTAGATTGCAGCAGCTCAATTGAATTTCTCTCCAGAAACTTAAGGATTTTTCCGTACCTCGGGAATCCCTTTGTCTAAAGTCGGCTATATTCATAACCCCTCGTATAAACTAATTCTGAATGTTGCAAAACGCACAAGGTTCTTATACATACCAGCATCAAGTGAAACGTTTGGAACGTACTTCACTTGTCTTGTCAAACGTCATAACAATGTCAAACAGATTTCATATATCCTTCTCATACAGTTTAAATTTGTAACGTATATTTTCTTCTGTTTGTAGTGTTGTGTTTCATTTGTACCTCTTATGTATATAATTGAAAAATTTTAAATTTGCTTTAATTCAAAGTTAATTAATTCAAAGTCGTTCATTTCTCAAAATGTGCTCGGTTTTAGACGAATTACTAACTTTTAATTTCAGTTCCTCGATTGAAAAAGATGTTCAAAAACTTAGAAAGGTGAGCTTTCTTCAATAGAGATATTTTTGATGATAATTGAAAAATTAAACAATTCAATCTAATAAAACAATGTTGGTGGTTGCATTGAAATTTATTTTACACTACACTACACAAATAGTTGATACAGTTCTATTTGAAAAAGAAGCGTCTGTTAGTAGGTACATAATTATCAATTATATTTTCCAGCGAATAGATGAGCAGTTCTTCAATTTAAGAAAATTTAAAGACTCGGCAGATTTTGTGCATTTAGAAAAAGGTGAGTAGGAATTTATTATTTTAATCATTTATAGAATGAAAGTGCAAGGATTTCAAATTTGCCTAACAGTTTACAACCTCCGTATGACACCACATCCTATCGCCAACCCTCTCATATAATAATGAAATTTATAAAGCTGTCTTCATTACTTTCATAGAATACTTTCAGTAAAATAGAATGTGACCTCAGAACTGTTTTTAGAGCGTCACCGTCAAGGAGATGTGGAAACAATTGTGGATAATTCTACTAAAAAAAAGAAACAAAACGAGGCAACACCCCTGGCAGATATCACACAAAATGTCATCCAACTCGAAAATATTACAGTTAAAAAGGAAAAGATATCCACTGCAGCCAGCTTGGATTCCATTTCCACTATTTCTGACGTATCCACTAGAGGTAATTTTTTTTAATTGAAGGGGTTATATTTTTAGGAGTGATTAATTTTTGGGAAAGAAAGTTTTTGGCTTTCTACTACTCCATATTGATACAAAAAAAATGTGGGAATCTCCCAAATATTCCAAAATGAATGTTTGGAATACAAACTGAGTAGAGAAAAGTATTTTCCGTATAATTCAGTGTTCATATGAAAGTATTTATTTCGAAAGAATTTTTTTCTATTGGATAATTTAATGTTTATATGAAAGTAGCTGTTTCAGGAGGACTATCTTACAGTTTGTGTCTGAAAGTTGCTTCTTTGCATGATCTACACATCCATGTATAGTAATGAAAGTGAACTGGTAATAAAAATTATTCACCAGTGGTTATGTTGATCAAAATTTAGGTCGCCTATTGTAATTTTTTATTGTAGTTAGTTTATTGTTTTATGATGCAGTTTCTGTTTAATTTGAAATTCAGAAGTTGATAATTAGGGACTTTTTCAAGATATGTATCCCCCATTTTGTGTTGTTTGCTTTCTGTTTATAATATGTATTGAAAAACAGATAATGAAGTTGTAAATAAAATGAAGGATACAACAGTCCATGTTCAACTTCAAAGATGAAAGCACCTCTAAAGAAGCTTTAAACATGCTTATAATGTCAAGAAGGAGAATGTTGTCAAGGTTGGACATTGTCATATGATTGCTTTGTATATTTTTTCAAAGCAGTATCTATTAAATTGCATAGTACTCTCTATTCTATCAACATCACAGTCTAGAAGAAATAACAGATGAGTAATCAGGTGTGCAAGGGATTTTTTATACCTTTTTCAGCTTTTTCTCATATCACCGCCATCTGATTTGTCAACAAACATAATTTAATTTTTTCTCTTTTTTGTGCCATAGGGACGGATTTAGGTTGAACGGATCTCCTCCTAAAGTTGAAATACTTTTTAATTTGCAATATTTTACAGGTAATATTAATACATTTAATATTTCCGAACAACAAGGTTCACAATCATCAAACAAAAACACCTTGAATGCTAATATGACAAAAACTGAGAGCAACTAAAATAAGAAGCACGTTTTTATAAAGAAGGTTCATTGGTACTTTTTACAGTTATAGTGGAAGCGATAGAATAATCTGGACACAATATAGGTAGATTTAATCAATTGAATATTTCAAAGGAAATATTCCATTTGAAATCAAATCATATTAATAGAATCAAGAATAGGCAGAAATAGAATTGGGGTCACAATAATGTGTTACTTGAATAAGTTATGGATTTTCATTGGCCAATTCCATCACATACAAATTAGATACTGAACTTGATGTATCTTAGTCTTCATAGACATTGTATTGATAGAATTGACATAGCATGATCTAGGTAATCATAATTTGAGGATGTACCTTAGGTATATAAAAGTTTAGTAGATGATCTAGGTAATTATAATCGAAGAAGTACCTGATTAGGTATCTCTGACTTATGATTATGTGGGGTATATCAAAATTACAGTAAAAGAAGTACCTTTTAGTATGTCATTCACTACGAGAAGCAACTGTGATAGCGAAACGTGATATACTTTTGAGACTAAACTTTGTGAAGGTAAAGGTTAGTTTATGAAACAACCATTCCGAAAATATTCAGAACGCTAGAACTAATCTTGTGTGCCCAAATGATGGTGATATACAGATAGAGTAAAGGAAAAATATATTAGTAGCTTCCAAAATACGCCATCCATTGAAAACTATTTTGCAGCAAAATAAATTATTGTCAGAACCAAAACAACATATAAAAAAAAGATTAGGATTTTGAAAATGTTCTGCTGCCTAAAATAGAGAAACCAATGTATCATATCTATGCAGCATGATTGATAAATATTCACATCAAAAAACTCTTTCACTATCAAAAACAAATTACCAGGCAACAACAAAGCACAAACCACCCTGAAAACTCTAGCATCTATGATATAGATCCCATTTTCGACCTTTCCTAAAGCCTCAAATCTCTCAGAACCTTTCCACATTTTCGAACTACACACTAGCTTGGAATATAATAAGAGTAATATGTAATATATTATCTTTTGAAAATACTTTTTCCTCACCAAAATCACGCTAACCAAGTTAGCATCATCAGGAGCACTTGGTTAGCAAAATGCGTGTCAAGAGGTAGTATTTTTGTTCTGGTTAAGGAAAAGTACTTTCAATAGGTTAATTTCACGCCAGAAGTTCCACATTCCACTCATCAAACCTACCAGAAAGTGTTGAACACAAATTATTAGATTGATACAACAAAATATTCAAAGGTCAAAATTTACCCAACAACTAAGCCTTTTGATGTTGAACAAAAGTGTGGATGATTTCAACATCTTTAGACCGATAGCGTTTCAATCGTGAGGACCAAAGATCACTTTTACCATGGATGGAATAGCATACCTAGGCCTTTGGGGTTAATCAGGTGGTTGTAGCTGATATTTGACTGATATTCAGAAAATATTCAATTCAGTCAAACATTTACTATAGATAAAAAAGAAAACATTTTCAATGATAACTAGGGGTCTACCACAGGGATCGCCTTCTAGTCCATTATTAAATATTTCATTTCGGCTCCCAGCAAGCTAATAACATACGCAGAGGATTTGTAATTTTAGTTAAAAGAAATCATATACACAACATCGAGACTCCAATCAGTCATACACTACATAAAGTTGATAAATTGATGGTTGATCACAATTTCCAGTTATCTATACAAAAATGTGCTTCAACTTTCATATCAAAACGACGGAGAGAGTGCCGCGATTAACCCTGTGAAAATAAAAATCAGTTAAGTCCCGAGTTAGTGAAATTTGAATATCTGAAATTGATTCAGTGTAGTGCAACTGAACCATAAAGTCCCTATAATTAGCACATCTGGTAAGACAAGTAGGTAGATATAACCCTCCCAGAGGCGTACCATTGAGACTTGACCTTTGGACCAAAACAAATCCTGTATTCTGCGACTGGATGACCTCACAATGTTGCCAGATCGTAAATAAAATATGGAAAAATTGTATGAGGAAATATTGACTAGCAAACAAGAGATTAAAAATGCTATCAAAGCAAGTGAATTTAGATTGCTATTGAAAATAGAATCCTATAGTGAAAAAATTGAGAATCTGGAGAAAGAAAACACGGAGCTCAAACAACGGATAGAGTTATTGGACAGAAACTGCAGGATGAATAATATAGTAGTGTTTGGATTGATGGAAAGTGAAGAAGGATCCTCGGTAGAAAATGTATGCAACAAATTGAATTTCAAACTTGGTGTAGAATTGACAAAAACCGATATAAGCAACATCTATCCACTGGGTAAGTCAAGGAATCGCCCACTCAAAATTGAACTTCTGTCAACATTCACGAAATTGCAAAAAAATAAAAGGTACGAACATATCTATATCAGCCGATTTAACGAAAAAGCAATAAGAAACGAATAAGATATTGAGGAATTACCTGAAGGAATTACGTGAAAGTGGTGAAGAAGGCTGCTACATAAGGGGAGAAAAGCTCTATAGAAACAATATAGGATACACAGTGGAAGATATTTTAGAGATTAAAAGAAACACTGAATTTCCAGATTACCCGAAAGCCATAAGTGCACCAGAAACTCCAACAAGACCATCTGCAAGAAGAGAAGGAATAAAAAGGCTGCTACATAAGGGGAGAAAAGCTCTATAGAAACAATATAGGATACACAGCTCATAAAAAAGAATAATTATAATCATACAAACAAATAATAGCTATGTTGAATAAAGTAAAATGGCAATAAGTGCAGAAGCACTTGTTTCGCCTAAATATGCGAGGAAAATTGGCTGGATTTATACTTGACAGATGACATTGAACTTGCTACTCAAATATTAATTCAAAAAAACAACAAAACCGTGGAAAAAAGCACAAACACAATTAAAGTTAGTAGGAAAAACATGAAAAGGAAGAACATAGTGAGTGGAAAACAGTGGAAAGGAGACCTAAAAAATTTCATCGGAAAAAAATTGGACAAGCATAGGATGGAAATGGAAAATTCAGAGGACGGCATCCGAGAGTATGGATGTTTATATACAGGGTTAATCAAGATGTTGAAGAAAAAGACATTCAAGAATACTTACAGGAAAAGACTAATCAAAACGCACAGGATTTCACAGTAACTCTCCTAAAAGAACAAAACGGATTCACGAGTTTTATGGTAGCGGCGGATTTTAAATTTAAGGAAGATTTTTACAAACCATCCTTCTGGCCTCGAGGTGTGGGATATCGCAGATATGACTTCAGAACAGATGGACCTACAGTGGGACCAGTCTCTTTTTTAGAAAGAGCAAGGAAAGACTCCAATTGAATTCTA